AAGGAAGGAAGGAAGGAAGGAAGGAAGGAAGGAAGGAAGGAAGGAAGGAAGGAAGGAAGGAAAGAAAGAAAGAAAGAAAGAAAGAAAGAAAGGCAATTCTCCCCCCCCCAGGGAGCCTTGGCCAGAGGGATTCCTGGCCCCACAGTGGTCAACTTCTCTTCCTGGCGACTCCCAAGGGTGCAAAGGGGGCCGGCTGGCTGACCCCTCCGCTTAGGGGGCAAGGATGCAGGGTGAAAGAGCAAAGGGCAGCCCCCCCCCTGCCAGCCCCCTCCTGGTTGCAATCAAGAGGGGGCCCGTGACCGCCAGGGGGGTGGGGGGAGGGTGGGGGGATTAGGAGGCAAAACTAGAATATAGAGAATGTTATAGAGAGAGAGAACGAAGAAAAAAGATGCATGAAATAATATAAATGCACATATGTATAAAGTTATAGTTATAAAAGGCTTATAGGTGCAGATAAAAGAATCACAACAGAGAAGCCTCGTGTGTTGCAAAAGATGTGAAGTTTGCATAAACAAAATAAAAAGTTTAAAAAAAACCCAGTGACCTCCTTGCTCCAAAGCCCGGCCTCCCCCCCCTGCCCCCCACCCCCCACGGCAGGCAGAGCAAGGAGGAATTCCAGCAATTTCCTCCCTTTGCCCAGGCAGGAGCCGTGGGGGAGGGGCCGTGGGGGAGGGGCTGTGGGGGGGGGGGGGGGGGGCGGGGCTCTGTTCCAGATCTCTTGGGCCCCCTGCAAAGCTTGTTGGGGGGGGCAGGGGGGGGCTGCGTGGGGTCAGGAAGCTGCTGCCAGCCCCCTCCGGAGGGGAAGCCAAGGAGAGGCCCCTTCCCCACCCTTCGCACAAACCCCCCCGGGAAGGCAGGCAGGGGGAGGCACCGGTTGACCCCCCCCCTCATCAAACCTTCCATGGGGGTCTTTTCCCCACATGCCCTTCCGCCACCCCTCATCGGGCCATCCCCCCCCCCAATGCAAAGTTGGCCCTTGCCCCTCCTTCCCTTGCCTGGAGAGACCCCGACCCCGCCTGGGGCAGAGGGGCTCCGTGGGGCCTGCAAGGCTGACCATCCACAGGGGAGGCTACCATGAGACCCTCCCTCCCCAAGAGCCCCCCAGAGAGAGCCCCCTGAGCTTCAAGCAGAGATTGGTGACCCCAAAGTGGCCTCCCTTTTACCCCCCCCCCACTCTGCCTTTCCTTTTTCCTCACCACCCTGGGATCACCTGGTGGCCTCCCATCCAAATCCTAAAAACAGGCCAACCTCCTCATTCCTGCTGGGCCAAATACAGGCAGTCCTCAATTTACAACCTCAGCTGAGCCCAAAAAGTTACGTTGCTAAGCGAGACAGTCATTAAATGAGTTTCACCCATTTGACAGTCCTTTGCCACCGTTAAGTGAATCACTGCAGTTGTTACCATGGGAACGCTGCAATGGTCATAAATATGAAGTCACCGTTGTAAATCTGAACAGTCACTAAATGAAGAGCTGTTAGCCAAGGATTGAATGCCCGAGAAAGAAGGACCCCAACCCCCCTCCCTCACCCCCCCACAGAAACTCTGCCCCGTCTTCTCAGGCTCAGCTGTTCCCAGGACCCCCCAGGACCCGAGAGGGGCTGGAGCAGGTTGAGCACAGAGGGGGTCTCGGGGGTGGGGGAGGCCTTGGGGGTCTCCTGGGCTCTGCCCCACCAGAGGTGCCCCATGTGCTCTGCTTAATGACCCACGTCCTCACTTAAGAGAGAGGCAGAAGAGCCGGCTAAGAGGCTCCCCAAAGCCCACAATGGGGAGCGGGCGTGGGGGGAGGAAGGGCTGCACATCATGTGACCCCCTCCAGCCCCATCTGAACCCCCCAAACCCCTGCAACCCCCCCACCTGTAGACCTCACTGGCAAGCGAACAAGCCCCCCCCCACTTGGCATTCGTACATCACAACCCCCCCCAACACCCCCCCCCCAAGAAGAGCCCAGACTCTAGAGAGTCCCCAGACGGTTCCGGGCAGCTTCTCCTGCTGGAGCAGGGGGCTGGACTAGAAGCCCTCTAAGGTCCCATCCAGCTCCCCCCTCCCATTCCGCCCCTCCCTGCAGCATCCCTGCCCAATCCTGCCACCCCAGAAGGCCTGGCAAAGCCTGAGCGGGCAGAGCACCGGGGGCTTCGGGGTGCCCGGATGCTGGCCCAGCACCGTGGCACAATCCNTGGACCCCTGCAGTTCCCCCCCCCAGATTCCCCCCCCCCACTGGAGAACCAGGAGGGGCCCATGAAGCGCTTGGAAGCCCAATCAGTGCCCCAAACCCCTCCCCACTTTCCTGCCACTCCCCAGACACCCCTGGGGGGCCCTCCCGGGCAGCAGACCAATCAGGGGGGGAGGCTGATTGCCCCCCAACAATCCTCCCTCTGGCTTCAGTTCCCTGGGGGGTAGCCAGCCCTCCCATCCTTCAGCCCCCCCAGCGCCGCCCCCCCCCCCAGTGCCCGGCCTCACCTTCCTTTCTCATGCCGACGCGGAAGCACTTCTTCAGCCGGCAATATTGGCATTGGTTGCGGTGATGCTGGTCGATCTGGCAGTCCCGGTTGGACCTGCGGAGGACAGGAGAGAAGCGGCTTCAAGCCCCCTTCCACAAGGGGTAGGGTCTCCCCACCCACCCACCCCCCGAAGCTGCCTAGACCAGCGACATCCAAGCTTCAGCTCCCAGAATCCCCAGCCTTCAAACCAGCCAATTGGGAGCAGCCCTGGCAAAGACAGTGAAGAGGGGGGTGGGGGCTTTAAATGCCATCCATCAATCACCAGGGCTGGAGCTCTTGAGCAGCATCTGGCAGCCCCCCCCCACCTCTGCTGGCCAGGCTTTGGGGAAGGGAAGCCGGACCCCCCCAGCCCAAAGCCCCCGACTATCAAAAATGGGCACTTGTTGCAAGCCCCACCCCCCACTCAGGGCCTTGACCGCAAGGGGGCTGATTTAGAGGGGGGGCTGTTTGGACCGGGCGAGCAGGATTTGGATACCTAGAGAGCATCCAGCTGGATGGACCTCCGGTAAATCAATGCTGAAAAAGGTCTGTAGGTGGGAAGAAACTCCCCCCCCCGGCTTCCCCCCCCCAATGCCATTGCTGGCAATGCTTGGTGGTCGGCTAAGGGACTACAATGCCCATCTCTGGGAAAGAAAGAAAAGAAAGAAAGAAAGGAAGGAAGGAAGGAAGGAAGGAAGGAAGGAAGGAAGGAAGGAAGGAAGGAA